ACAGTAGTTTTTAAATAGGGCAACAACTTCTACATGTTTCAACATGACATAATGTGATCCTGTTAATTTTCGCAATTCTAATCATCTCAGAGCTGTATTTTCAGTTTAGTCGCCAAGAGCGGTTGTTGTTGTCTTTCTTTTCAGTTTTGATCACTGGTTAACACCATGGAGGTACCGCCCTTAAGAGAAAGGTACAAATGTAACCAAAGGGAAGGTTCAAGAAAGAAGTCAGCATCTTGGAGAACAGAAACATGAATCTGAGCGTGGACAAACAGGATATCAGCTACAGAAAACATCCTATTCCTGCCTAGACTGCCGTTTATAGCCTCACAGACATGCCACACAATGACTTGAAACCACAGCCGAGAGGAAAACACCATTGTGTTGTTGATCCTCCAATTTCCTTTGAAACGAGAAAGGAGCTCACACAGAGAGATGCCAAGGCTGACTTTGACTAGCTGGCTGTGATTGATTGATGTTTATTTCAGAAAAAAACAAAAGTCACTGAAAACCTGACTCTTTCTTTGAAGGAATAAAAGTAACGATAAAGATTTTGCAGTGATGTAAACAAACAGGAAGTTTGATTTTTTTTCCTCATAAAAAGTGACTCCAGTAGGTCTTTTAATTCAAGACTGTACTCTTGAGAATGAAATACTTCATCTATACTTTTAAAGCTTATTGATAATTCACCTCAGAAGGAATACGACCAGATGCCTTCGACACACATGAATGTGAATATTATGGCACTGACTAATTTGCGTAGCCATGATGTAACACACACACACTGGTGGGCAACTGGTAGGGCTGGTTCTACAGTTTCATTGTGAGCTTTTAGGTCATGTCACTCCCCAAGGGTAAAAGAAAAGGAAACTTAAGAGAGACAGAGTGAGACAGAGAGTAAAGCCTCTAACTCGGAAAGGGTAAGAGTTCACACACACTGTAGCACCTCATATATTAGACCACACACACACGCACGCACACACGCACGCACGCACACAAAAAGGCCAGGTGATAAAGACCCCAGTTTAACCATGCAATTTTACCACTTCTTAGTGAGTTAATTAGGACTAATTTGAACACAATTTGGGCCTAAGTGGGAAGGTTTACAGAGTGACTCAGCAGAGTGACTAAACATAGGAGGGCACAATTTACTCAATAAAACGTAGGTGGCCAGTGCAAGCAGTCTCCTTTAATGTGAGGTAACACATAAATCAGATTCAAACTAATGCATTGTGCTGAAGCTCCTAATCTCCAATGAATCACTAACCTATCTGACCGGTTTCTGAGAGCCACAGGCATCTGGATGGACTGAAAAAAACTGAGTTAATGAGGTCTGAGAATGATCTCTCCTTTGTACTTGGCTGTAGAAGCTTGGCCACATTGTGACTATCTGTGGACTACTTGGTGCAGTTAGCAAGCTAACCGCTACCAAGCTAACCTGCCAGGACATGCTAGTGCTTTGTAGGTACTTCTCCCTGGCATCTTGTTCTCAGGACTGTACTAAACTTTGTTCAATAAGGAGTTATAATGAAGAGGGGAAAAAAAAAACTTGTAGCCAACAAGCTTGCTAACTGTTACTTATTTAACTGCTAACTTTGTCACTAACAGGACAATACATTTGCATTTTATTCAATAGGATAAATTTGTGCTCCTGTCCTATAACGGTCTGTGAACTATTCCTCTTGTGTGGAGCAGTTCATATTGCCCAAAAAGTTGAATAAAAGCGGACCGGGCGACAGCTAATAATTTGCGACAGCTTATTCCATTTTGGATTCAGTGTCTCTGTTTTCTCAAAGGTTAGCACTGTCAAGGTGGCTTGCTATTTGGTCAGAGTTTATGGGAAATAAAACCCCACTGCACAGCAAGAGGTGATGAGATGCTATTCTACCCGGTCTAATGCTATAAGATGTCAGCAAAATACACTGATGTCAGCCTGGGTCTTTTTCTCCGGCCAAGTCTGAGAAACCTTGCTCTCTGTGGTTATCGTATCTGCTGAGTTAACAATATTGTTTCTTTAAAGCCATTTGGCAGCTAAAAGGCCGGGGGAAATGTGTAAGGGTTTGTTAAAGGTCAACAACATTATTGCAGAGAGGTTCTTTATCAGTTCATATGGACAATGTCAAAGCAGCACTTTTCTGTCTCACTTGGCCACTTTGTCTTGATCTCATAAGGCTCTCCTCAGTCTGTGTCGCATTATAGGGGGGCCTAATGCAGGTTCTCTATGACAGCATCATATTTCAGGCAGTCTTTGACTGGACTGGGGCTCAGACCACCAAAAATGAATGCAGACATTGAGAAGTCTATAATTAGAAGTCACTATTATAAGTTATGAAACACAGTGGTAGTTTACTCAATGTAGCCCCTGTTGCTCTGTCTTTTTATTTTGTTCAGAACAGAAGCCTTCGCTCCCCTAACGCATTACGGTACACACCCTGGCCAAGTAAACATGCATACACACACACAGCTTGTATCCCCAAAGGAATTGGACGGGTAGGGGGTGGGGGTTTTGTCAGCCGTGTCAACGCACAAGAAATTCAATTAAGCAGACAGCAGGATGCCTCCGAAACGCAGCCTCCTTTGAGCTCAATATGCCCTCCAACAGTCCCCACCACTCCACCCCCAAGCTTCCCAGCCAACCCCTTCCAGCCATTCAGCCACTCCCCCAACACCACCAAGACCCATTGAGGGCCCTTTGCTGGACTCCCTTTCATACACTCCTCTCACAGTGCCCCACTTGCCTCTAAAGAAATGGAAATCTTCCAGAGATGCATTAGCCAAAAAGATGACAAAATGTAAAATTTGACTAAAATGGTATGAAACACAAGCCTCTAGCTCAAACAATTTGGTTTTACTCTCAGGACACCAAATTCATTTCATCCTCCTCCTTTCTTCCCATCTGTGTGTGTCTGGCACCCAGACAGATGCTGTTCATTTAGCACTTGAGCGGCAATCCTCGAGCTTGTCTCCTAAATGCCCGGGGGAGCCACTGGCATTTGGACAGCATTAAATAAAGCCACTCTGCAGACCTCACACCACGACCAGACCTGACCTCGCAACATGGTCACTTCACTCAGATTTCAAGCAGCCAATCGAGTAAATCTGTGCTGGAGCAGAAGACTATTTTCTTACTAGTCAGGCCTGTACAAGCTAGCTTCAACCTGTGAGCAATTACATTATCTATCCATGGTTTTGAGAATTATTTATTGATACAAGTGATGAACCACTTGTTTGATCTCACTGCTCCTGGGTACAGTCATCCAACTTGTGAAATAGTAGATTGAGATCAATGTAGTATTGCTTTGTGTTTGTTTTTATCGATTGACATCTTAGGTAATGTCAGTAATAGCTCTGTTCTCTTTCCACATGGAGTTGTTTGCAATTATGTTAAACCCAGAAAGATTTGTGATGCTCAGCTTTATTTAGGACAAGATAACATCGATCTCATTAGCAATGCATTGGTTTGAACAATGAAATAATAAACCTTCTCCCAAGTGAAGCGGGCCGTTCCCATGCTAGCGTGTTATTGTGTATCTGCGCATCATTGTCAGTGATGAACACACTGAGCCAGAGCTTCAGGGGCACACAATGTCACGCACATCTCGCGAAACAGCGGCTTAGAGAGGTGCTAGGCCACTGCAGACACAATATTGATGTTACATAATGAGAGCCAAACAGCGCCAAAAAATGTGAGTGTTATCATGAGTATATTTGTGTGTTTTTCCGGATTAAGGGCTCCCTCGACTCTTGACTCTCTCTCTCTCTCTCATGCGTGCTTCCATTCTTTTGTATTTGTTACCTTCACGGTTTTCAGAGCGTACAATTCCAGGAACGAGCGATGGATAACATGTGACCTATGTGATCTGATTTGAAGCTGCTTGCTTTGAGCTCCTACATGCTGCTGCCGCCCTGTCCTTATAAAATCAGGGTAAAATAATTTTTTTTTTTTTTTTTTTTTTAAGTTTCAGCTAGATGAGGGATTTTTTTGCCTATGAAACAGTTTATTCCCCATACCAAACAGATCATGGCGAGTTATCAGCCCATGTGCTAGCTAAACGAGGCTTAGTGTCCTCCTGTTCCATCATGGCATTTTCATCCCAGCTTGCAGCTTTCAGCCGTGTATTTAGGTCTTAAAACAGGGACACTGATTTCTGGTCACATGCCATGCATTTCAAATGGGCCCTAAGCAGACACAAGTGCTCTTCCACAACCAACGACAACAATGATAATCAGCAAACGAGCCTGAAAAAAAAAAAAAAAATCTATTTGCTTGAGCCCCCTGTAAAAGCTATTAAGATAAGTCCTCTTCCTTGAGGACCACGAGTGCAGTGACCTAAATCAGTGCAAATTCAAATGATGGGGTTGCGTGGGACTGAAAAGGCCACTTAAGGATGCTGTGGGAGCGTGTGTGTGTGTGTGTGTGTGTGTGTGTGTGTGTGTGTGTGTGCGTGTGTGTGTCTCCAATCAAGACTTTACAGTGAGGTTAAGCCAAGACCCCCCATGTTAATCCTTCACAGCAATTTTGATCAGCATATGTTGTCAGTGCAATCACACTCACATGGTCACTATGCAACATAGCCTGACTGTATTATCTAAGAGCACTGAAACCAAGAAGAGGAATACAGATGTAATAGGCCACTAGTCTTGGTCAGACTGCAAGTTCAATTAGCCTACATAGAAATGTTAAATGTAACTTCAGAGGCCTCAGAGGAGCAACAACTTGTGTCCCTTGTCTGACAGCTTTTTAAAAAAATCAGGGGTAACTTGAAGTTATCCATTTTAGCCCATGAGATTGACTTTTTGTTACAAAAATAAAAATAAAATCAAAATGACTGTTTCACCAGTGTTAAATTAAAACAGATTCTACAAGCTATGATTTTGGAACATATCAAGCCTGATTGGTTGGATTGGATGTGCATCGTGTCGGCAACTGTGTTAAGTCTGGGTGCTGTTTATGACAGCAAGACGTGTGTTAAAAAGGTGGAGGCCCCATGTGTACTCACCATTAAGTCCATTTGGGATGCTCCTGTGGTGGTGCGGTGCTGACAGGTCATCCATGGACCTCCTCATGGTGGGGCCCATCTTACTGTTCTCTGAGGTCTTGTGTATGTGGTTGTGATTGTGGTGATCGGGGCTCCCAGCACTACCTGTGCTAGATGTGCTACTCCCGTCCCCAACATCCCTGACCGTGCTGGTGCCTCCATTCAGGTTGGTCAAACTGGACTGACTGTCTATGGAGCTCCTGGACCCTGCTCCGTTCCTCTCCTCATCCAACATGAGGATGATCTCCTTCAGCTCAGAGTTCTCCCTCAACACGGTCTCCTGGTTGGCCTCCAGCTCCTTCAGCTTCATCATGTAGGTGCCCACCTCCTTCCACATGGCACTGGCAGTGTAGCGGCCAAAGCGCTGCCACTCTCGGGACAGCTTTTTGCCCTTCTGTCGGTCGTCGTCCAGGAAGCAGCAAAGCTCCCGGAGCTCATGGTTGTCGTCCTGCAGCTTCTGGTTAATCTCCTTCAGGTTCCTGATTTCGTGCAGGTGCACCTGCAGCCTCCGGTTGATGTCTTTCATCATGTTTCCATGCTCGATCATCAAGTTCATTTTCTCACTGTCAACCTTCCTTAATCTCCTGACCAGCTCCTCTTTGCTGGTCCGCAGCAGCTCCTCGTCCGTCAGCTGGCTCAGGTCATCCTTCTGTCCCTCGGACGGATTTTTAGCCATGACTATCTTGGCTATGAGTCTCAGTTCGTTTAAAAAGGTGGCTAAAAATTAACTCTCAAAACTCATTTAACCAACCCTCAATTGCGGAATTATGTTGAAAAATGAATACATGGTCCAAAATATCAAAGTATCGTTATGCCCTCCTTTTCAACAGGCCGATAATGAAAGGGAAACTATTAATGTGATGCTATGGCAACCCCAGCACGAACTGAATGCCCTCACTAATCTTTGAAAGGAAAATCCTTTATGAATCTCGGAAACAACTGCTGGTATTCACATTCCGTCAGCAACGAAAACACATGATTTTAAAATGATTACCAGTGATTTTCAATCAGGTCCTGGTCCCTGCCGCCGAGTCCTGTCAGCACAACACACCGCGTCCCATCACAATGTGCGCCGTCTCCGCTGGACATCGCTCCATTCAAATGATGGGAAACGGAAAACGCAACAAACTGAAATTTTGATCTTAATTTTACGCGAATATGGCGAGCGGTCGAGTAAACACGACACCTATGCTATGAAAGCCCACTTTTTTTTTCTTTTTACCGGCGGTGCCCTCTTGAACGCGTCTAACAGTCAGCAACGCTCCTCGGATAAGCCTCTTCTACTTAGGTGGTACGTCGGTGGACGGAGGATTCAAGCCTTTCCACCCAGCCAGCTCGGAATTAGCAGCGGACCCCCCTCCTCCTTGTCCAAACACTCGGGTTTGAAACCATTCAAGAGGATTTCGGCCAAGACGGCCAATCAAGACGTGGGAGAGGAGTGGGCAGCAGGTAGATGAAAAGTGCGGTGAAGCCTCATAAGGCACAGGCTCAGCCCTCTTAAAGGAACAGTAAGACAAGTTCAGGACCGGGAAAATATTATTCATTAAAATAAATGATAACAGAGCACTGAGCGGCTTAGGACATGTTTTTTAAAATGTATAATAAAACATATTCTATTATTACATTAAAGCACATTTATTAAAACGTTTTCTAACTTATAACAGCCATTAGCTTTACATGTTAGACTTTTGTTTGCAAATGCTATTTAATAGTTTTTCTTTGTTAATCTTTAAGCATAAAAAGCTTTGTTGTGTAATTGGCCCAATTACTAAACTGTTTCAAAATTAAAAAAAAAAAACTTAAATCCCCCCACATATTGATAGAATCTTTCTATTACAACTTGATTCACCACTTAATAATCTTATTTTATTGCATAAAATGCTGACAATCTCCTGAAATTAGATAGTTTAGATGAGTGACAACTTTTGAGTGTTAATTCTCTCAAAATTGTATCTTAACAGGTGCTTTTGAGATTTCTTTGCAAGGTCACAGCGCCCTCTTGTGCACGCTGTCAGTATTGCCCCAAAACACAGAAGGCTGAGTACATAAAAATCACTGCACAGTAAACTGAGCACAAAATAAAATCATTGTTTCAGGCATTGAAACCATCACCAGTATATTAAAGTGATAAACAGGATATAAATTATTTATGCATCAGTAAAAAAGATGTGTAAGACAAAATTAAATTTGAGTGGTTTATTTTTATTTGTGTAAAAATGATATATCCAGTATTTTAGATCAGAGTTAAAAGAGGAAGAGAAATTACAGAACTAAAATGTCAGTTCCAGCAGATTAAAGTGCTAATCTACTCAAAAAGTGGCTAATTTGTTTTCCCACATCCCCATTACTGTTTGGAAACAACAACAATCACAATCATTACAAGCATTCATATGAATATGAATTGTATTCAATTAAAACATTGCAGTATTTTCTTTGCAAATGATTAAAAACATTAACTGAAAAAGTAATAAAACAACCTGGCAGCATTAGAGGTTTCTGGCTGTTATTCAGAAAGCTAGTCTGGGCCAGTTGTGTCATGTTGTAATACAGTGTGGCCCTCTATTTCTTGTAATTCCTATGTCTGACGGAGCACACCACTCCACTCTTCGGCCTGAGTGAGCCAGTGTCCAGGATGTCAAAGGTCTGTCCAGGGACAAGTGTGAAATCAAACCTCTGGAGCAGCTTGGCCATCACCACTTTAGCCTCCATCTGAAAACACATCCAGTGTTTTTATATATGTCGTAAGTGTGCATGTTGATTATTTATGACTGTTTTTGCCACCACCCACCTGAGCAAAGTTCTGTCCCAGGCATGAGCGTGGACCAAGGGCAAAGGGGTAGTAGCAGTAATAAGGCCTTGTTAAACAGATAAGACACAACTTCACTTAATGCCAAGCACTTCGTACTTTCATCTGGGACAATGCTGTAACACTGCAAGACTTTGAATGCAACTTACTTGGTAACATCTGGGTGAAATCTGTCTGGATCAAATGTCAGCGGGTCCCTGAAGAATCTGTCCAGTCTCCCAGTCACATAGGAGCTGAACTGAAGTTCAGAGCAATTTATTGAACATTTTGAGAGAAGGTTATTTTTCCTAAAAATGTCTTGTTTTGTTCTGTGTTTTTGAGTGACAGTGTCATTGTACTTTACGTATATAAAATAGAAACACTATAAAACTTTTCTGGGTTGGACACACACTTTCAGATTTAGAGGTAGCCTACAAACACATTCAAAAGTGAATGACTCACAAAACAGGTGACTCCTCCAGGTATGTGGATACCAGCAATGACCATGTCTTCAGGTACCTCACGAGATGTGCCTGGAGCTGTCGGGTAAATCCTCAGTGTCTCTTTTAGCACCTTGGGTGAGGTTACAGTGTGAGGTGCACGTCTTGGGTCAATTGGTTAAAAAATAATTGAAGCACACTGAACATTTTAAAGACGAGTCCATGTTCTCTGTATATGGTTCCATTCCTCATTAAGACTTAAAGACTTATAGGCAAACTGAGAGTTGGTGGGTAAATAAACGAATGAACGTACTATACGTGCCTGAACTACACATCTGAAATGCTGAACCATAGTCTTCCTAACGTCATGACATATACCTGTGAGAGGTAGGTCAGTTCCCCCAGGTTATCATAGCTTATGTCCTGTTTCATCCCAAGGACATCATCCACCTCTTTATTCACCCTAAGAAACAACACATTTTTAAGAAACCGTCATTCAGCAGCTATATTATGAAACAGTTTTTAACTGCATTATTAGTTCTTACTTTTCTAGTATATCAGGATGTCTTGCTAGTTCCATGATGCAAAACGCAAGTTGATTAGCTGTTGTTTCTTGCCCTAAAATGTTACAAAAGACAAAAATGAATCAGAGCATTACTTTCAAATGGCGCAACCGTGGATCAACAACACACATTAAAGTGACTGTATTCTTTATCTCTGAACCAGAAAGAGGTGAACTCGTCTGTTAAGTCCCACACTTAACAGACAAGTTCACCTAAAAACAAATAACAATTCAGGACTTAAATCATACACAGATCCTTTGGTGAACACTTTCACTACAAAACTGTAGTCTATCAAACTGTGCCACCAGGCTCCTTGCAGATTGAAAAAACCTGTTTACAGCTGACATTTTATTGAAATTTTGTTAATCTTACTTTGTGCTACAAAAGGAAGCACAGTCTAGTCTGGTCTAGTCTTCAGTATAGTATTTCACACACCAAAGCAGAACAGAGACTCACCCGCGATGAAGAATGTCACAAAATTGTCCAACATAAACTCCTCATCCTCTTTAGTCATGCTTTCCTCTGGAATAACAAGACAATGGAATCAACATGTAAACTAATATTTGACTGATCTCCTTTATAGGCATCCAATTAGTACACCACATTAAGATGTGCATATTTAGGCACTAACATTCACATACTAAGTGTCTCATCTATTCATATAGTGTATCCATTTGTGAACAGGTAATAGTGCAAATCTGCACTAATAATATGGATATGTGATGATGAATGCTTTATGCTTTATCTTGTTTGCTATATGTATTTTTACTCTCTTTGATATGCTGTTCTCAACACTCAATATTTTAAAATCTATGCTCTGTCTTGTCCAGACCGTATTGTTTGCAACTACCCTGTTACAAAACAGGATTATTTAAATATTCTTATCTAATCTAATTAAATCTGAACTTTAGGGATGATCACCTTTGCCAGCAGTTTTGATGATCTGCGTGAGGATGTCCTTGGGGACGTCATCGCCGTTCTGCATGGCAGTCTTTCTTTCATGGATCCACTGTGCTCCAGTTGTGCGCAGCAGGCGGCAAGCTTCCCTCACTTCATTAATGAACGGTTTGTTCTTTGGCTTGAACTGGAAATGCAAGATTTTAAGATGTCTGACAGTTTACGAGGTTTACACAATATGAACCCCATACAAACTTGCAGTGAAGTCATACCTGAAAAAACAAGTCTCGGACATAATGCACCATTCCTTTTAGACATGTCTCGATGGCTTTAGGGAAAGGTGAACTATTCTTCAGCAGGTCTAACTCCACACCAAAAGCAACCTGAGAGTTATGAAGGAAACAGACATACATTCATGTATACTAAGATAGTTACAACATGGTTGGATGAACCTTTGTGATAAGCTTGTGCTTTCTTCACATTCAAGAAAAACTTGGGTCGGGGCTACTGCAGAGGAAGCCATAAAACAAACTATGACACACTACCTTGGCAATAACATCTAGGGTAACACAGTTCACAAGATGGAGCATGTTGACCTCTGTTTTGCTATCAGCAAAATCCGAAAGTTTGTCCATCAGTTTCTCTGCCCTCTCATTGAAGGTGCCCATTAGACCTCTCAAATACCTGGAAACGATAGTTTTAGACAGTGGAATAGCATAGCCATGGCATACCTGCAAAGCTCCACAGAAATTTTGTAATTGGTAAACGCTGTAAATAAAATAAATGTTGAGTAGATTGTCCATTATGTCTCTTTGTGATGAGTAAATAACTCACAAGCTGCTGAAAGCAGGGTCCATGATGCGGCGCTGTTTGTACCACTGCTCGTGGTCCTGTGCTGTTATCAGGCCGTTACCGAGGAACCTTTAAGAGAGGCATGAACACGATACTAACCCTAACCCTATTCAAACTATTAGTATAATAAAGCTGTAAACGATTTGACATCACAAAAAAATGATCAGTGTAGAACAGTGTAGGATGCTGTATCTTACTTGATAAAGTATGTTCAGGAATTCAAGATATCGACAGTATCACAAATTACACTTATTATTATTGCTAAATTGTTGATAGGCTAGTTTGACAACATGGTACATTATCTGTATCCCTGAGATGTATACGCTAAAACTCATCTGAGATTCTGATAAATTACCTTTGACCGAACAGGTTGAAGAGTTTCTTGTATACTAATTTATCTTTGGAGTACTTTGGGGACATCAAGATTTCCTGAAACCACAAGCATTAAAAGAGAGAACATATATGGAACATTTTTTTGACTTATGCCATCTATCTTTCTATCTGTGCACTTTTACACAGTTTATTGTGTAATGCTTATGCAACTGATGGTTACACAAATCCCACTGTGAGGTGAGATGTTTACCTTGGTCGCCTCTGGACAGGAGACACCGAGTGTAACGTAATGCAGAAAATTTAACCTGTAAACAGGCCCATGGGTCTCGGTCCTGTAAATGACAACTTCGTTATAAATTCGATTTGCAAATACTACATTCGTATTTATACATGCAAACCTGCATCCAAACTGAAGGTGCACTGTTCAGAATAACTACTGAAAAAATATACTTCATACGTTACGACGAGTAGTCAAGGAATACAAACAAACAACATAAACAAAGGAAAACCGACACATCGAAAAGCTAGCTAGCTATAGCCTATACAGCCTATAGGGGGTATGCGTTACTGCATTGGCATACTGGTGGTCACTCGGACCCCGCTGCACTTTTCAATTACTACTTAAGTGTTTAACATTTATTTACCTTTGTCTACCGCATATGCGTGAAACTTGTGCTTACCATTCCAGAAACTTATCGTGTATAATTTCGTCGTTTTTCATTAACCTCAAAATCGTCCTTGAATGTCCGAAGAAAAAACTAGGAGGACAGAAACAAAGTGTCAGGTAGTGTCAGCACATCTGCTTTAACTGTCAAACGTTAGCTAGGTGACGAGAAAACAAGAAACATTAGCATAAACTAAACAATGTCCCACTTAACTTACGTTTCTCTCGGTGGCCCAGGTATGTGGTCATATTTCATATGAATGTGTTTAATATACAAGCTGTAACCAAGAAACGCGATGAAAATCAGAAAGAACAGAAACATCAGCGCTTGAGCGGTCCAGCTCAAAAGTACATGGAAAACTGCCATTTTGCTCAGACAAGTCCAACGTGATACTGGCGATTAGCTGGTCAAAAGAGAAGTGTAAAACTCGGTCAGTCGTTTAATGGTCCCGTACAGCAAGCAGTGTCAATGCCTCCGGACTTTTGACAAAGGGGTACCTTAATATACTTATTTTATTGTATGGGGCGGTATAACAGGCTCCATAGCTCAGTGGTTAGAGCACTGGTCTTGTAAACCAGGGGTCGCGAGTTCGATCCTCGCTGGGGCCTGTCGTGTGAAACCTTTTCCCTTTCTATTGTGGCCTCTTCTTGGTTTCACTTTTAGCATTGGGGTTGAATGTAACCATACATTCGCTTCAAATTTCTAACAACTGATAAATTGTCCTATTGATTTAGCTGCTGGTGAACATTGTGGTGAATAATTCTGACATCAGCTCAGCAACAACAGAACAGGCTGGCTCATTATCGGCTGGCTAACATATCTATAGCTATAGGCTGCTAGCCTTTACAACCAAAATGTCACAGCCAAACTTTGCAGTACCTTGAATACAGAATAGAATTTTTCTCTGATACTGATGCCATTACATATGACTGTAGTCATATCACCGGCAAAATAAATTAAGTATGGTACTAAGGAAAATCACCATAGAAGCAATTGTGGTCAAAGGTTACAGTACTAATCATAACCAGGAAAACATGTTTTTATGTGGGAAATGTAGGCTCAATCAGGCTTAATTAGTGGCAGACATTTCTGAGATAAAATTTATATATACTGTGTGTATATATATATATATATATATATATAGGGCTATATATATATATATATGTATAGGGCTATAAGTGAATATTTTACAGTCTTATGAAACTGTTCATACTGATAACCATATGTGCTGAGCCAAAACCCAGATGTGTGATATTTTTTAGATAACAACATCATAAGTAAAACAAAAAGTAGCACTTGAAAGGGAGGGAAAATTACTCAGGAATATGTTAAGAGTAGCCTATACGATAAGTGTGTTTTGGCTCTTTGGGTCCTAAACTTGATTATTTAGACGCTGAAAATAGGACCATGTCACTCAGTTTAGTTAGGTTAGATCTTTTGTCAGCGTTGCTCTGAAAAACAGACACCATAAGCACACAGACACAAGGTTAGCAAGACCTTTCTCTGAAGTCAGATTTATGCCAGGTCCCTAAAAACCGAGCTATTATGCCTACTTAATGAAGCAGAATAAGGCCTATGTGCTATGCACCCACTGCACCTTGTGAACTTTGATTCATGATAAACAGGGCACAGAGGTGAGTAAGAGATTTCACAACTTTAAAAGTTTAAACCAAACTGTACTGGCCTCAACTCAGAGTTCATCCCTCACCAATCAGTTTCAGCACAGAGAGACAAGGGAATTCCTCCATGACTGAAAATAGGATCAATATTGCCAAATGGAGCATGAAACTACGTAGCTAGATGCACTTCACACATCAGATCACGCCTGCTTTCACCTCAACTGGTGAAGCGGGAAACCCTCCCTTGGTTTATTCAATTACACTCATCTCCAGGAGCACTGGAATAATAGAGTAATTGTTTGAGTCAACACAGAATCTCGCATAGGTTTGATGAAGAGATGCATACAGGAGTGATGGGCTAACTGATGCAGATGGACATTGTGAATCAAATGCGCACTTATGTTTGCTTGTGTAAATATATTGGCTGATCATTAAACGCATTCTGCAGTGCCAAAACGGGCTAAAAGGCTGTGACAAAGAGAGCGCGAAAGGCACAAAATCTGATTTAGAATCAGCTATGTTGTTGCTTTAACCCTCATAATTGATTGCTTCTGATGCACTCCCTCTTTGATTCCAGATGCATTGGCCTGTACAGCATCCTATTTGCAGGAAGAAATATGGTGATCCATATGAAAAAAAAATATTTCAGAATATCTGATCTGACTGATTTTTAGCTAATTTAGGTCTCTAAATGTGAGCACAGCTTTTATGGTGACGCAATACGGCTGTCATTTTAAAAGATAAAGCAAAGAAGCTCAACGTGTCCTCTTCTTAAACTTGTACCCTCACTTACTTAACATCCTTTAGACTGACATGAAACTGGAAGCAATGAACATCACACTTATCTGAGCACCATCTCATCCCGTGGGTGGTGATATACACACACTATAGGATTATTTTTACATGGTAAACCAAGCTGTTAATAGAGTCACAGTGTGTAGGGCGGAATTGCCAACTTGAAAAAGAGAGGCACTGAAAATCTACACTCTACTGCCTCTAAGTTAAAATGCATGTAAAGCATTTTTCAGGCCACTTAACTTGACACTAAAACAGGGTGCTGAAAGTAAAATATGATTCTTTAGGACAAACTGAGAATTTGTGTTTGACAAATGACAACTTTAGCAAATAATTAAAAAAGCAAAAACATTTAATTGATTAATCATTTAGTCAAACATAAGAAATTTAATTGGCTACTGTTCATCATTTCAGGTAGTTTTTAAAGCAAAAAAAAAAAACCTACAGAATTCATTGGTTTCACCCTCTAAATGTGACTATTTGATGGTTTTCTATGTCTTCCATTTGCTAAACTGAGTATATTTGGTTTTTGGACTGTTGGTCAGACAAAATGTTTGAAGATGGACTGTGGGAAAATGTGATCCGTGATGAGAAATGGGATATTTCACTATTAATTAATTTATTTATTTATTTCTAGAACAAGTAACTGATTAATTAATAATCAACATATTAGTTAGATCAGTCCATCAGCCAATCATTCTAAATAAGTTTGCAACTAAAGTTTCCTGAAGTTTCAGGTTTAATAGTAGGAGGTGATGTCCACATTAAATCCTGTGTATTTAGTCATGGTGACCAGCAGGGGGAGCTCTGTGTCAGTTTCCTCAAATTTCCAGTACTCTTCCCATCTCTCTCTTTTCTTTGAGAACATGCACTGGAGGCTCACCATGGAAATATGACAGATTGCAATGTGTCTTGGTGTCAAAACATGCCTGTTGCGCAATTAAATGAGAATGTCGTCTGTTTTTGTTTCCATCATTCCTGCAAAACAAGATCTCACATTCTGATCAAAGGCATGCAAGACAGCTCACCTGACCTGCAATACCACTTTCTTCCTACTTGTTTACTATGATCCAGCCACTTCTATCACTAGGGCCACTTCATACCTGTACATATTGTTCGCAATAACCTCCAAGCTTGTCTGCATTCTTATCTTAAAAAGAACGTGCAATCATATTTTTGGTCCAGGGTCTTGGCTCTGTGTAAACGCTGGAGGCTAGGGGCTGTTTGATGTTGTTATGGCTGGCTGTCTGCCGCCTCAGTACTACTGGATCTGCAGGGCCCTCTCATGTCCAAAGGTATTGTGTTGGCTGCTCTTTTGATTATATTATCAACAGAGAGAGAGGGAGAGGGAGAAAATTAAGACTCCCACTGGACATGAGTAAACAAACAAAAGTTTGTAGAGTCTGGTTCATCCAAAGAATGTCAGTTATTCAGACTTCTCTGAGGATATTGATGTCCAGTGTTGGGATTATCGTGCTGAATATTGTTCTTGCTTGATAAAACAATTTGCCTGTCCTTGGTTTGCAAGATTGAGAAGCATGAAAAATACAAAGGAGGAAAGGACATTTTGACACTAGACATACTAAAAAAAAATAATGAGGTTGATGTTCATGATTTGACTTAAATTTCTGTTGGACACATTGCCACAAAATGTAACCGAGACATTAATGCCCCCCTTATGATAATTGGAACAACTTCTCTTTTTATCATCAAGTTAAAATTTCAATTTGCCCACTACTTTGGCTTATAAATGATTAGCAAATGTTAACCTGCTAAAGCAGTAAGATGGTGAACATGGTAAACGTTATACCTGTTAAGCATCAGTATGTTAACATTGCCACTGTGAGCATGTTAGGATGCTGTCGTCAGGTTTTTGGAATTATTTTCTCACAAATGAACCACTTGTATTGCTTGTAAATGGAGAAATTAGTGCAAGAAAAAAAAAAAATCTGTGCTCCAAAACTCCTTGGTTTTCTAACTCTCTCATGGGTGGAGGTTCCATTTTGAGATTAGTCCTGTTGATCATCTCAGAACAAGGCCTTCCTCTGTGTCAGGCTGGTCCAGGAATGGGATAAGTCAAACTCCAGATAATCCATTAGATCCTAAGATCCACTGGCATTCTTATAAGTCCTGTAGGTGGAGCAGCTAAAGCATGTATAAGGGTTTGTGTGTGCAGGCAAGCACGTTTGTTAGAATTAATACGGTGTGTGTTTCCACGATGGCCGGTTTTCATGACTGCACTGGGCCCTTGTGTGTGTGTTTTTGCGTGGGGTTGCCCTCATCACAAGTCATCTACAGGGAGGGAGGATGGGGACGAGGCAGCCTGTAACAGGAGCAGCGAGGGACTTGAAGGGCCATGCTGTTTGCAGGTTGACCAGCCGCAGTACACCCAGAGGAAATCTCATGTTCCTGCCAGCCTACAAAAGTAAACAGATCTGTAACCACCGAGCGCTGGCATGAGGCCTGGGCCACCAGCACTATAACTAAAGGAATGAATCACATCACACACACATTCACTGGCTAACATGTAGGTGCATGGTGAAGCAGGCATTTAGAATTGTGGATGGCAAATCCAATCCTTTCACATTTTGTGTGTGAAATAATGGACGCAAAATTGAAACACAATAACTTTGGTGAGCTTGGGCTTCTGTATAACCACAGCGTATTCCCTCAGTGACGTGATGCACATGCCCCTCCGCAAGCTGTGAAGTGTATTCACCCAGGTTTTCAAATGCATCCGCCTGGAAACTCTTGCTTCATTCAATATTTCAGATAACATCTTTTAGCCACAGAGTTTTGAAACCTCCCCTCTCTTTTATGTTCCTTTTTCCTCCCTCTTCTGTTTTCCCTCTCTCTGCTTTCTCCTCTGTCTACACATCTGCGGTTATTTATCTGTTATTCTGTGGCAGCAATGTGGTCAACATGTGTCTGGCTTCCCTCCACCCAGCACTCATCTGTAGTCAACTTAGGAAATCACTGGAGGACCATAGTAAACCTACCAAGCTCCTTATCGTTCATAACACAGTGTATACATACCAAAGGGATGGATTTCTATCTCCATAACATTAGTACATCCTCTGCTAATTGTGTCCCACTTTTGACCTAACGTTCTATTGTTAAGGCACAGCCATGTTTTTTTTTTCCCTCTGTCTTCATGGGTCAATGAGAGCAGAAGTGAAGGATAGACACCATGACCTACTGGAATTAGAGTATCTCAGAGGAGTATTTGGATTGCCTAAGCCTATGGATTTGCATTACCCTGACCTTTGAACTTCTAATCCCAGTGTTATTTAATCCTCTAGAAAGAGTATAGCCTTAGAAAACATGATGGTAGAAATAAATCAACCTAGAAACCACAGTGTAGATGGATGACAGTGATGGTGGTTGTTAAAGCATGCAGGAGCTTAAAAGGTTAAAGTTCTGGTACAGCAGGGCTATTTTGTCTGACGGGTCAAGTGGAAACCCTTTGACGTTATTTTTGATATCCAGCCTGCCTTTTCTGGAGCTTGAATTTAAAGGATTTTATAGCCAGCACCATCCCTCCTACTCTGCCTTGGACCTAAAACTCTGGGCCCAAACCACACCTGAAAATCATATTCAAGGAAATCGTGTCACTCTTGTGAATCACCACCAGAAGACTGCCCACAACACATTTGTAAATCCCAAAGCGCACATGGCTTGAAAAGGCTGCGGTTGATTGTTTAGAAGCCGTACAGAAAATGTTAGTATGACTTTTGACTTCTAGATGTGAGCTGAACTTATAAAGAAAACCAAAGCTAGATTGAGAACACACAGTTGATGAAATAGAGTAAACCGAGGAAACGTTTGATGCTGTGGGTTCAAACAGCAAATGCACACACTGCTAACAAGTCAACTCATCCGTGATACCTAATTGAATCCTGTAATCACACGTGGAAAAGGTAATATAGATGAAAAATTAGAGTCTCGTGCCCATTACTCCTCATCAAGGCAAATACTAACATACAAAACCACAACCTATTATTTGGCGGCATTATGCTACAGCTTCCACCAGCTCATCTATGTGGACAAGTCACTCAGCACTTAATAAAGGGACCTTCCTTTGATCATCTTTTAAAGGGAATTGACACTATATAAAGGAAATATGTTTATTTGCTTTCTTGGTCAAAGTTTAATTTGATAAGATTCAAAGCACTCTCGTGTCTGTACAGTAAATGTGAAGCTGCTCCCAACAGCCAGTTAGCTTAGCTTAGCACAAAGACTGGAAATGAGGAGCTAGTCTCACTCCATTCGATGGTAACAGCCCACCTGCATCTCTAAAGCTGATAGGTGGCCAAGAAATAGTCCACTTCATGATTGATTAAACAAACAACATGTTAATCAGTGAGCTTTAAAGGTGCTGGTAGGCAGATTTTGTTACCTTTGGACAGAGCCAGGTTAGTTGTTTCTGTGTTTAGTCTTTGTGGTAAGCTAACAGGCTGCTAACTCTAGCTACATATTTACCTTACAGACAAGATCCAATTCTTATGAAGTGAGTAAGAGGTTAAACTCTTCTTTGCTGATGTCCTGACACCAGGAAACATTTGGGGTCTATGAAAGAGAAAACTGTATGGCCTGCATCTCCTACTGGCTGCTCTAATGTTTAACCTGTTGCTGCAAACAAGGAAGTGGCATGTTTGCACTAACCAAATGCTTGCTGCACTGTACCTGCCTTGTTTGAGAAGAAAGGTGCAGAAAAGTTTGGTTAGTCAATAAAGAGTATAACTACTGGGTTGTTTCTAAGGAATTTTGCTCTACAGGACTATGCTATGCTTGGCCCTGCTACAAGATATCTACAGTGTGGGGGGAAAAAACAGCACATTAAAAAGTCAGATGATGAATGCAAGGTCTTTATATATATATTTCATCAGCATAATTGCAACAACATTTTCATAGAGCACTGCAGTACAACGTAAAATGAAACACACACTTAATGTTGCTGTATGAAGTGATATGAGGCAAGTGGTTTCCCTTTTGATAATGGGTGCCTTCATTTTTCAGTCCGATTAGTGCACCATGTTGAGTATAGTCATTTCAAAGCTTCAACAAACTTAAAAAAAAGAGAACAGACAAATAAATACTGTACAACACCATATATGTAATACTAGATTCAGAAATCACAAAAAGATCATGCTTTTCTCAACAGAACACTTGATATATGCACTTTCATAGAACAATGCAGCATCTCTGGCGAGTTTCCCTTCACAATTACACTATCATCAACAAATGGCAAACATGAGTACATTTTGATATATCATTTGTGTTTGTATGTGTGTGTGTGTATACATATATACTGTATATGCACACGCATACTTTAAATAAAGTGCCTTCCTTTAAAATCGGTGATTCCAAAATGTAAATGCATGTCTGCAAATGCACATCTGGAAGCAGAATTCCTGAAAAAAAGGTTTGGAGCGAACATCCATAAAATCAGAGTGGATAGAAAGGGCCATTCCTGCAGTTTTAAGGCAGTTTTCAGTAGGGTTTACGGTTACTGCCACAACAGTTTACTGAGCGAGGTGCAGAGTTTTAGTATATCTACTGCTACAATGCTAACAAACTATTATTATTATGGTTAGACATCAGCCTTCTCAATCCTTTGTAGTATACCTAATGGTGAAAGACTGACTACTACAATGTTGCCTTTACCAATATTCTGTCAGCCATGAGAAGGACACTTAACTACATGACCTCTCAGGAATGTTTATTTGAGTGGGAATGTCCTTTCTATCCAATCAAGTTCTGTACATAAACCCAAAGACCCTAAGCCAACAGCTTAAACAGCAATGACATCGTTCTACCACACAATGTATTGACAGCAACAATTCAGTTATAAGGGTTCTCATTACTTTCAGAAACTGCTCAAAAGCATTATCTCTTCACCACTTCCAATCGGGATTACACACACGATACTCCGTACTAATCTTTACCCCAATACACTTTGTACAAGGTCCAATAGTGCTCCATTGTCGAGGTAAATGAAATTTGTTTATCATGGTAGGTTAGTCCCCCTGAGAACATTATAGAGACATATCTATGAGCACAATCTACTCACTGTAGAACTGAATGTTTGTCCTACATTTGCACCAAAGAGACTTAGGAGGCTGGAGTTACACAGGCACCAACAGTCTGATTTTTAACTCTTTGGCACCCAAATCATATATTTTCCTGGCTGTGAAGATGTGAGGAAACACATGAAATCATTCTGTGTGACAAAACATTTGAAATCAAATGTGCTGTTACTGTAGCATTACTGCCTAAAAGCTAGTCTCATAATTCTCACTAGCAAGCTCCATAATGACAACAGAAACTTTGAAATTATTTTAGCTTACCTCTCTGGTTCACATCCCAAATTATTTTACAATTACCATTTTTTTGTATCCAAAGATTGGCTTAAATGTACATTACTGTGAATGCATGTGGCATCTTTTGGGTTTAGTAATGTCCCGTCCCCTTCATACCTTTTGAACCTGAAGAATCTTATATTGTAGCAGCATAGTTGGGATATTCATCTGTCGGACTCTGCCCATGTATGTGTTTCTTTCAATCAATGCAGCCCATATTCATACATTTTCAAATGTAAAACCTACAAGAAGCATGATCAGGATGTTTACCATATGTTGCTATTGTCAATCACAAGCGCTCCAGGACACCATCAAAAAAGCCAGTAAGTAGGCATCATGCTTACACGCACCCAGGAGAGTGTAGTGAATATAAAGAGAGAGCTTGATGTCATGCCAGATGTGTAACAGGTTGGCAAGCTATGGGAGAACACTGCATTTTTTTTCCATTCATGTAATTCAGTTCAGTTCAGTTGAGTCTGATGTCAGGACACTGTGCCAAATCCTAACTTGAGACAGCCCCACTTCACCATCATTTCTAAACCCCACAAATTTGCCAATCACAAATGTGCATTTCCTCTGAGTCATCAATGCATGATAAATGGCTGATGCATGGTTTAGAAGTAATACTTCATGACTTTTAAGGTAGGCTGTCTCCTCTCAAATTAGGATTGGGCCCTTTGACTCTCTGAGTGAAGTGGTACTTTTGGCTGTGGTCCCTCAGTACTCCCTGGCCTCTTCCAGTTCATTCATGAACACGTCTTCATGGGGGTTTTCTGGGCAGCTCAGCCCATTGTTGGGTGGTCGCACCGCATGGAAGCGACTCCAATCTCCCTTGCACAGGATCCAAGGCAGCACATCCACTTTGAAGTGCAGCTCAGGTGAGAACTCAGTGCTGATCAGGTTAGGCGTGCCTGCGCCTTTCCCTCGTGTGATCAGCCGCCCGCGATCGTCATAACAACAGTGCTGCGCTGCAAGAGTAGACGAGTCACCAGAAAGTGCTGAGCGGATGCAGCTATGTGCTGATGGCTTGTAGATGTCCAGGCGTTCCTTAGAGCCACTGGCATCACGCCAGCGGAACTGCCGGCCATGAGTCTCATCGTAGACACTGACCACGGTGTACGCCACTTCAGAGGGGTAGGAGCAGGGGCAGCTGGGCAGCTCAGACAACACCTGGTGGAGGTACCTCTGGAGGAACTCACTCTTACAGTTGAGCCACTTCTCACAGCTGTCCACATCTATTGGAAAGAGTACAGCAATACCACATGAAATTGTTTGTTAGAGTTGTTCATGGTAGCACTAACGGTAGCACGAACGGTGATTTCTTTAGAGTCAAGCCTGAATCCTATGTCTATGTCACACTCTTGAGCAAGCCGGTTTTACTTTCCTTTGTTACTGTACCATAATTAGCCAAAGGGGTACTATCAAATAAATGCTTTATAATGTTGTGGACTGTAAAGTATGAGCAGCTTGCAGTTAATGGCATAAAATATGATATGATCAGGTGAACTAATGAGAGATGTTGTGGAGCGATCTTCATTAGATAAACTCACCTGTCCCAAATGGCTCTGTGCCATTCTCCATGTCAAATGGGAAAGGTTCTACCACGGTGTTGACATCGCCTACAGAGGGGAGATGAGAGTGAGAGAAGGAGAGAGGAGCTGTAGATTAAAAACCAGCTGGGACATCAGCAAAGGCACAAAAAAATCTGTACTTCTTTTGGCATTTGTGTGTCTTAATATAGAAGTATAACCTTACCAGGGCAAGGCTCCAGGTCACATTTAGAGGCTTCTGTCAGAGTGCAAGAGTAGCCACAAGACTTGGTCCTCTTCCTCTCACCATGTCCACATGTCACTGAACAGGGAGACCAGGGAGACCAGGGAGTCCACTCATCCGTCTCCTTCTCTGTGGGAAGGAAAATTCAAACATAGTTACTATTGCTTTAGTTCATGGATTAAAATGTGTATGACTAAGAAAACTCATCAGACTCTACTCAGATTAAAGCATTATATCAAGTACACATCACAAAATCAGTAATGTTAATCTCTGAGAGATTTAAGGTGAAGATTATTATTTACTAATTGCATTGTATTTAACAAGCTAATAGGAAGCAGCTTTTGCTGTCAGGGATTATGAACGTGAGCTGAAAAAAATCCTGCAATCCAAAAACACCTTACAGTTTTGTGTGGAAGTAAACCCTGTTCTTTCAAAGTTTCTGAACTGTCTCAGTCCATATAAATGACAGTTTTCTCCTGGTCTAACCTTCCCCATGAAAACCCATATTCTTTTTAAGCAGGCTTCAGTAAAATTAGAGAGAGAGAAGCTGTGCTGTGGCTGTCCGCCTCCGCACCATGTTTCCTTGTGGTGTTAATAACACTGAAAACAAGTCATTCTTGATTAAAGGCGAGGTGGGTGCAGAAATACCAGCCTGGGTGTACCGAGCACCCAATTTTACTTTGTGGGCGCTGCCAGCTCGCCATGTGGCCATACGAGAATGAGGTCTCAGGAGAGTCTTAATTACAGAAGAAGCTAAGGCAGACATCCTTGATTTATGTTCACCGAGTCTTTAGATGTGACCACTTAACAGGCATTGTTGCCCTTTCCTGGCTTGTCTGCATGCACAACACTTGAACAGATAAAGTCTATACATTGGCAGATGGAAAAGGGAAAGGTTACAGAGTAAAAACTACTCAGGTTTTCAGACACCTACTGCTGCCTTTTGACATTACACTACAACAGTAGAGGTTTGAACACAACAACAAGCTTCAAAATCCAGCTCAGTCATACACAGATTTGTATCTATGGGAAATTTCTTTAACAAGTGAAAGCTTGAGGCTGTGGTAAGCCCATGACTGTGCTCTGATCTACAGCAGGACTCACACACATTGGCCAACCCACTGCCCAGCTGCCCATCAAACTTTCCTGTTTTTTCTTTTTTATCTTTGTTCTCTGTCTCCCTTCCCTTTTTTTCACTATACACACCTTCTGTATCTCTTTCTCTCTCATTTACTATTTTTACTACTGAATTAGCGGTCTGTGCAAGCTGAGACACAACATTTTTTCCCACCAGAAGAAGGCAGAATTAAGAGGGGGAAGAGAGCTGTAAAAGTTATGCAGGGCCCTGAAAGCCCCTGAAATTCTTGAACTGGCTCAAAAGGCTGAGCCGCAGAGGGCAGTGAGGGCCGCCAGGGTCTGGGGGGGGCCCATGGGGTCCCGGGGAAGGATGAAAGGGCTGGCCGAATGGCCCCTGTCATTCTGAGTTCCCAATCTGCCCTCTAATTGTCCACAAGCAGAGGGTTGTTTTGTCCCAGGGAACAGTGCCGGCCTCACGCTGCCATTAGCAAGCGCATCTGACCCATCTTCAAAAGGCAGGCCTCTGCGACCAGCACGACCAGTGTCGACTTCAAAGTGCCCATAACCCACAATGTCCTGATGGTCGAGTGCTCATGCTGCCTCGCATGCTGGCATGCTAGTTCTCTTTGACTGTGAAGAGTTATCATGCAGCTTTCCTGAGCCACTGTGTTGTTCTCCGTCTCTCCATTGTTCTCTCTCATTCTGCCTCTCTCTCTCTCTGTCGCTCCATCCAGACGTCCACATTATCTCCATCTCTTTTTTTGATATGATAAATTCAGTGACTGTATTGACATACTTTCCCGTTTTGGATGTTTTTCTTCTGCAGGATTAATTGTGATATATTTTTAAAAGCCATGATGGAGTCATATTTAAAGAGCAGTGTTCATGTGACTGTACAAGCAGACAGCGAGTGTACCACTTGGCAAAACTTACCATAGTAGCTCTGCATTGGATCCCAGCCTTCGTTCCAACGAGTATCCCAGTCTCCGCCCACTCCGCTGGGTAATGGCTCCTCACTGCCATAATCCAGGGAGTAATCTTCCTCCTCCTCTTCCTCGCCAGTTTCCTCCACGCCTGACCGGCTGTTGCTGTCCTCGCTGGAATCGGCGTCGGTGTAACTCCAGAAAAGGGGCCAGAAAAGCTTCTTGCCTCCAAGCCAATCCACTGTGGAAGAGGGGGAGGAGGACGAGGAGGGCAGCCAGTCTTTTTCCTTGGCCAGGTCCATCTCTACCTCCATCTGAGGGTCGTCCACCACCTCAATGGTAACCTACGCACAAAGAGAGAGGGGTCTCTGTCAGTTTGAAGTGAACCTGAACAAACAAGAACACCAAGACCACCAAGAGAAGTGCAGCATCATTGAAAACAACACTTAGAACTGACTTATAAACAGTGACTTAACAACAGGAGATTCAACTGTCCAATGTTGCTGTCTTAATTCTTCTTTTGCCTGAACATGTCAAAAACAAAAGTATAGAACCAACAATACTTCCAGGCAGCTTTAGCGCTTGACTTACAAGCTCCTCTCAAGAAATCAACCATCTCAAATCTGCGGAGGAGTATTTTAGCAGGCAAACCCTCTACCCTGGTCTAAGTCAGCCAGCCAGACGTGAGCATGAGCATTCAGCCAACCAAACAGTCCTCTCAGGGAGAGAATCTGAGCATTTATTCTGGATAACTACCTCTCATTACCTCAATATGACTCATCCTAGATGCTACAGTACTTCCAAGGGCCCACTTCAGCTGATGTGAAGACCAGGCAACAGGGAGACTACAGAGGAAATCTTTTCATAACCATAGTGAAATTAATTTCATAGTTAGGAAAGAAATATGATAATTGGAAATGCTTCCATTTGTTTTAAGTGAGCATATCCTTGGTGCAGAGTCCTTCAGTTAAAGAACAGTACATCTGGTCTGTATGCTACATGAAAAGTCATCATCTCAGTATTTGATATATCAATAGGCTGGTATCATAATGTCCCTCTAACCACATCCTGATTACACTGACCAGAGTTGGAGAACATAACTGCCCTGAGATAAGTTAAGCAGAACAACTTCTTTAACTTCTTGGGTCAATTTAGATGGAGATGATGAGGACTTAATGAACACTTATGATTACAGAGCCCCCTTGCCTTTAATTAAATCGTAGCAAAACAGAGCTGGGTCTCTAAGATTAGACTGAGAGATTGCTGATTGTTTAACATTAAGGACATACTCAATTTTACACAGCAAAAGACACAATTACCCAATTCTCCTTGTATAAAGGGTTTTAATTTAACCCATTCAATGGACCACCACCAGGTCTTGGTTACTGTATGGCTGAAGCACACAAACTATACTATACTTTGTTTTCGTTATGGGTTTGGATGGGTCCAGTATTTCCAAGTCAGTTTTAGAAATTAGGATATCTTTATCAATGTCTTGAAGTCTGTTTAAGAAGCTTAAGTACTACATCTGCCCAAATACAGAAATGTGCGACACCCCTCTTCTCACTCACCTGTATGTTGGGGTTCTGCGAATTGATATCAGCATTGGCCAGGTCTGGAAAGTTCTTGAGATCCAGGATGAAGGGTTTGGTCTCCTCCTCAGGCTCCGGCTGTGGAAGAACACCAATGGAGCGGTGCTGGGGGTGCGACCACCTCCTCTGGTGGCTGTGTGGTTCAGGCAGCAGACTCTGCACCTGGTTCTGCTGCTCCAAAGTCTCAGGGACGTATTGGACCCCACCGCTATGAACAGGGTGGCCGTGAGCCTGATGGAATATACAGATTAAGACACAGTGTAAATTACAAAGTTTTTATATGAACAAAAAACAATAATCTGGTGGAACGATTTCATGCATTTTGCATCTATGCTCACTATGTGCAGACACCACCCTCAATAGTGCAAAGAACAAGGGCAGCGGAGACAGGCCTAAAGTAACCACTGGCATACATTCAAAAGCCAGTGGCTATTTTAATGCTAATGACAAAAATAATTCATCATTTATAGTGGCTCATTGATGAGTATAGAAACAATTAGTGCTCTGTTTCCAGGAAGAAACCTTGAAACCATCTACCACCTCACAGCTTGGTCAGCAATTCCAAAAAGCCCCTGAGGCATCCAACTAACCAGCCAAGTGACCAACCAGCCTTCGTTCATTTCTTTTTTTTTTTCCCACAACAGTCATGGCATCCAAGCAGTGGACAAAGAGGGGCCTGTGCCAGAGAGATCCTCTTTTAGCTTTAATGAGAGGGCCTGGGAGGCGTGGGACCCCTGGGCTGGTGCAAGTGTCTGAACCTGCTCTGCTGCCGCCACTACTTAATTTGACCTTTCAGGTTTTACAGCTACTGAGAAGGAGGACCAGCAGGAGGAAACATTGATCTCTCAGACTGATCGTGATTACTGGTGACATTATAATGGTGGGGAACTGTAGATATATGTAGTGTATCTGGAATACAGTGACTGAAAATGGATATTTGGTTGGTCTGATCCTCCAGTGTGCATATGTCTATCTCACTTCTAATAGGACACGTATCTATTTCATTCCTGACACTGGTCAAAACCAAAATCCAAACCTAACCAAACTCTAATGAACCCTTGTCTGCTATTCACTCTATATTATCCTGAATGCACTAAAGTGGCATAAACGTATGATTGGACAGTTTGGAGCTGAGCCAGCTTGTGGTCTGCTCAGAACAAACCAGTGGCAGTTAGAGGCCTAAAGAGGAGAAGAAATGTCTGAATTAATGACCAGTCGGTTGATGATTTATACTTATGGCCTCTAGAACAGGGCGTACTTTTCACTGACTGCTTGTGATTGTCCCATAAAGAAGTTATGTGGTCAGTCAAATTCAAGCATGTGAACACATAATGCCTGTTTAGAGGAGAAGCCCGTCAAGCATGATAAATGATGGATGAAGAGTTGGCCCCCTCCCCAGATATCTGTAAACTGGTGGTGACAAGTAGATAACCTTTTGGGGATGTTTAGTGTTTCTCTCAGTAATTTTATCCAGTGTTTGTTGCAATAGTGTGTGCAAATGTTACACATATTGCAATAAATCCAAGCTGACCGTTTACAAGATTTTTGCCAAGAATACTCAGCATCAAACATTCAAAACATATTCGACAGGACACCATATGCAAATACAAAGTACAAAATAGTAGTGCAAGTAGTGCTACAATTTAAAAGAGTAGTCATGTAAATTTTAACACTTTTTAGATCAATACACATTTCACAGATTTAAGATTGTTTTGGTTCCTGTTTTCAGCACTGAATTTAATTCAAGCAGAGCTGAAACAGCTAGTCAAGTAACTGACAAGGTGAACACATAAACTATTATAAATAACTATTCTGTTAATTGCTGTTTTTTTTGTTTTATATCATTGTATCATTGTAAACAGAGTATCTTTGGATTTTGGACTGTTGGTCGCAAAAACGAGACATTTGAAGATGTCACCTTGGAAACTCTTAGAAACTCTGATATTTTATACCGTAGACCAAAACATTAATTGACTTTTTAATAAATAATAGAATAAAGTATTGAATAGGCTAGTTAGAAAGTAAATTAGTGAGTTACTTAATTAATTAGCTAGTTAGTTTTCTTAACTGACTTACTTAAAGCTTAAACTCTTTGTGCATTGTCTATGTTTAAAACGTCAATTTCTTTTCATAGAAATGCACCAACAACAATTATTACTGACAATAACTCAAATCTAATGTTAAGTTAATCTAATGCATTACTTTTAGAATCTAAGGCAAACAAACATTATTCTCTGTGTCAGTGTAGAAAGAAAAAAAAGGCCCCATACTTCAGCTTCTCTCATGTTACACCTGATTTCTGGTGTCTGGTATGAGCCTTAACTGGAGAAATCCTCCAGCATGATGCTCCATTTTACCATGTTACTGGCCTGTTATTAGCATGAGTACATCACTGGCATGTCTGAGCAGCGGTGACCATATACACCTAACTCTTACACACATGCCCTAACAACCTAAAGACTTATGCAAACACAAAAAGACTAAGTCCAGAGTCATGAGAGAGGCCACATACTTTCACACCCTCCTCATCTCATCTTGTTACACATCTGGATCCTGTATTCTTTCGCCCTGTATATCACTCTCCTCCTCCCGTCTTCCTCCCCCCTGGTTCTCTCTGATCCTGCTCTCCTCTTCTCAGTAGTGGGGCTGTTCTGATCAAAGGCCCGATGGCTGATGGCATGCAGCGTGTTTAACAGGGAGACTGTATGGATGCAGCGGGGGACCTCAGCCTGGTTTGGAGACTGCTTCTCTCCCCAGACAAACATCAATGACAAATCCACCCCTTTGGCAAAACACAGTGTCCTCCTTTCAAGTGACTGAAAAGAATGGATCCATTTTGGGCTACTGTCATTGCTACTGTCGATGGTGACACACATTCAGGTTAGGGAGAGTGGATGGGGGCAGCAGGGGCTGAGGTGAGGGATAGGGATGGGATCCGGTAGACTTGGGGGGCAGGCTGGGAAGGCAGGCGATGTGGCAGCCCTGATTTATGTGCCCGCAGATATCAAAGGCCTCTGCACTTGGCTGTTTCCAAACCATTACAGAAGAACAATAAACTATGGGCGCTCTTTGATCGCCATCTTTTGCAAATGGAAACGGGACAACAAATGCATGCCTGGTGGAATCGGGCTGAGGTTGTGGAGGTGGGGACACCAAACAGACAGGGCAAACAGGTCCCAATATTTGGGAAAGAGGCCACTTCCACACAAACTCCTCCTCTTTCTTCGCTGAGAGATGGGGGTAAAACCAAAAACAGGAAATTCCACATTAACACAATAAAGAACCAATGTAAACAATCAGATGAATGACACTTGACCCCGGCTCCAGTGTGAGAGATGCCGAGGGTTCGCCTTATTCTGGTTACATAAGCATCTCGTTACCGGGCACCCGCTTTACTGAGTCTCCCCTCCTCCTTCTCTCTTCCTCTACAAATCTCCCCCTCTCTGTCCACCACTTAGAGACACGCATCTAGCAGGTCACAGGCGAAGGTACAGAGTCACCAACTGCAGCCTTTTGGTGACTGAGAAGCACACTCTCACAAGCCGCAGTGAGATGTTTTTCCTCACTAATCATTCCCTTCATTTCTTCCCTGCCTCTTTTTCATCTCTGTCTCTTTTTGCTTTGACATCAGTCAGAGAGATGATGAGAGAGAGTCCCAATAGGGCATCCATGGGTGGCCACACAAGAAGGAGAGAGTTCAAAGGCAAAAACTGAACCCTGACACAAACACACACAAACAGACTTTGATATCCAAATACGTCCATGTGTAACACAAACATTCCTGTAGACACACACCACACACTGCACAGAGTGTGTGTGTGTGTGTGTGTGTGTGTGTGTGTGTGTGTGTGTGTGTGTGTGTGTAGGGAGTTTAGATTTATTATAGCAGGGTGTTTGCCCAGTGATGGCAAACCTTACTATACATGGAAAGAAAAGTGGAACAAAAGAGAGCAACATGCACTGATCTGCTCATTTCAGCTCTCTTCATTGATTGAACCATTGATGGAGAGTAGTGTTGAATAAGCAGTTTTACCCGTTTTTTTCTCCAATATTCAAATTTTAATGAACAAAAGTGCACAATGTAAGGTAGAATGTGTCTTGTAAATGACACCAAATTACTAACCTAACTTATAATGTTAATGTTCCCTCCTGGCCCTTAATTGCAGTGTGATTTGTACTTAATAACAATTGTTCTAACTACAATTTGACATTTTTATAGGTAATAAAAGCTACGCACGATTTTTTTTTAACTTTAATTGCAGTTTTTCTGTGATGATGTAGTTATTTTAGTGTATTTGTAAATGGAACAGTTATACGGAAATACATTTTACAAGCGTGTGCAAAGTTTCAAAGACGCATTAGCTAGTTTTCAAAAAATTATCAGCGGCAGGTGTGATTTAAAGACGTCGCAGCATTTTGAAACTTGTCTAACTTTCTAAGCTACGAAAAAAAAAAAGCCAACACACAAGAAAATGTCAGAGGAGAACTTACCTTGTGGGCAACATTCTTGTGTCTGGTAGGAAACCCCGTCCCCAAACTAAGGAGAAGTATTGACCAAAGCAGAAGCAGCATCTGAAATCTCCCCGCAACCTCTTGACGCATCTTCTCTTCTTCGGAGCTTCCTGTGAAGGTTTGTAAAAAGTACTTTGGATGCTTTTCTCAAACTGCTCTCTCTAAATTGGTGGGTTGGTTTGGAAGAAGCGCTTGTGTCCTCCTTGTCCTCGGTTTGTCAGCAATTTTGACTCGGGACAAATTAAGTTTTAGGCCTCGTCGGTGTCAAAGTGTCGCACTTTATGAAGATGCGCACCAGCGTCCTGAGGTATCCCGCGCGCTATCCATATCTGGCACCAGCGCCTCGCGCAGCAACTGTCAGTCCGTATGGCGGGTCGAGCTCAGCGCGTCTCTTCCCCATAAAATCACAGTTGGGAGAGCTTTAAGTACCAGAAAGAAGTCAGATACCCCACGCAGAATCTCTCCGTCCGCACCGGCGCTCGCTTATTCAACTACTTTAAACTGTGAGTCACTCCGTCGTGGGTGGGTGGGTGTTTTCTTCCAATACATTGACATCTGGAGCTCATAGTATGCTGTGCGTTTTGCTAGCTATCTGTCTGATGCATTAATCCATTATCCAGCTGAAGTTCATCCACCGGTTCGATTGCATGTGTGTGTGTGTGTGTGTTTGTGCGTGCGCGCGCGCGCGTGTGTGTGTCTGTGTGCCGCCCAGCCAACCGGTTTCGGTAAACTTGCCTTTGACGCACGCATTTAGAGGGTTGATGCTGAAGGAGTTGGGGGTGGGATGCTCATTGCTCACAGCTGTGTGGAGGGGGTGCGCTGGGCCACTGAGTTTCTTGATAAGGTACAAGGTTTAGTTTGCATGTAACCTACAAAAGGATGCAGAGGCAGCACACAGAGGACATTCACTTACTCATTGAGAAAAATACATTTAATCAAATAGTCAGTCTTGAAAACAAAACAAGTGAAATCATTTCCCTTGTTCCTACAGTCTGCTGAATCACGTTTTTTCTATAGGCTTGTTTGCCATTTTCTAAACTCAAACAAATTATTATCTCACCCCACTGGCATACTGTTTCAGAGAAATACCATCAGAAGACCGTAGTGAATGACTGGCCGATGTGGAATGCTGTATAATGGCAGGATGTCAGTGACTTATCAGTCAAAAAGGCTCTACAGCATGTTTGTCATGAGCTTTTAAGATGTGACTAAAGTCTGTGTGTGCTGTAAATAAACACAAACCCATTCCAGAACTTGATACTAAGAAAGTGATTTAATCTTTGCAGCGCTGTTTCCACCAGCATGGTCAACAAACATCATGGCTTTACAAACTCCTCTAAGTGGTTTATCTTCAACCCCAAATACAACTCCAAGGGCAAAAGCAACTGATAAGTAAGTTTCCAATGTTCACTGCAGTTCAGTTCGCAGGTATTTGTGGTAGGTAGGCTGGAAAATGTCACATTACATCAAAGAGCTGCAAGCAAGTTTGCGTTTGAATAATCTCTCTAGACTTTAATTCCTCAGTTTCAGTGAGGGAAACCTGGCTGAGAGAAACCGTCACGTTGCTGTTTGCAATTACATTTTTGCCTCCATAGACAGAAATGCAGAGACTTAACATACTGCATGGTGCTGCAGACAGCTCAAGAGGAAACTCTGACAAGAAGAAATTCTTTATGTCAGGGCACATTTCTGAGGAGTGCAATTCCAGATCATAGTCATGTGTTCCACCTTTTATATTACATTTATTAAAAGCAAATGCATCACTGAGTTGTTATTCAAGCCATTTTCTGTGAAAGAAAAAAAAAAACAAAACACAATATTGGAATGACTCACACAAAAATGCGACTATGTCTAAAGGATGTACAGTTAAAAAGAGACCCCAAAAACCTTGGCAACCTGTGCTAAAATGCCATAAACATCAACAAAAGCATCTCTAAACTTGTGTTGAATTGAGTCACTTTGATGAACATGTGTAGGAATGGTCACATTGCCAGACAACTGCCAGCTTTCAGACTGGCTTCACCGACGCACCCTCCAATTCACATCAATAAAGTGACAGAACATAAACACACACATGAACACAATGTTTGACAGTGGCATGTATGCCATGTTTGGGGTGATCTCATACAGAAAAAAAAAAAAATTAGACAAAACATTAAAATAAAACAAACACTGAACAATAAAAGCAGGTTGATATGGAATGTAATTCCAGAAGATGATCACAGATGATAAATTATGAGAAAAAAAACTGACATTTGAAGCATATCTAAACAAATCTTGAAAGTTTCAGTGGCTACGTCATCTGTGCATTTAAAATGCCTGTCAGTAGTGCTGCACTGAAGTTAAGACGTGTGAGTAGTCCGTTAAAACACATACCTTCCACTGGGACACATTTGGAGCTGCCTTTCAGGTAATAATTAAGATTTTTGACAAACATAAGATAGCTGAAAATTGACAAATAAATAAAGCCGTCTGTACATCAGATAAACGTGGGCACAGCATCGTCATACATACAGATCCTAGTTACAGCGTGTCATCATGCTCAGAGATGGGTGTCGACGCTGAAACACATGAAAGCACTTGAGTGAGAATGACTGAACCCAAAAAAAAAACAAAAAAAAATGGGGACATACAGAAACATCAATGGTGAAAAGTTTGCAAAATGACATGCTGTTTCCTTTACTCAGCCTCTGAAGGAGAGCTGAATAATGACATTTTATGAAGCTGTAGTTTAAAGGCTCTGCACACCCTCACAGGTGTTTTCACTCTGGCTGATTAGACCTCTGAACAGGCGTGCCTGAAATTGTGAGAGGTCACAGACTTCATGTACTAATGGCAATCACAAAAGTGAACATTGTCCCGTCCTACAGGTGCAGTAAAACTAATAGAGTGAGGAGAATGTCAGTCAAGAAAAGTCTGTACAGGCTGATGAGGAGAGAGCTATCAGGCAAATTAAGTGAGAACACCTGTGTGGGTGCACAAAGGGTGAGAAGGGGCTTTAATCAAAGCCAAGAGACGTTAATTGGTAAATACTCAAGGTTTTTTAATTGCAGCAGAAAAATGTTAAAAATAACACAAGCTTTGATAAATAAGTAAAATGTTTTAAGTATTATGATTGAGTCGACAGGATTTTCTTCATCAGTGAACAGTCTACAGTGTTCATTCATGGTGTTTGGCTACAGTTCAATAGAGTAAGACTTAAATTTGTCCTGAGTTGAAGTATAAGTCACCAGAGTAATTCAAACAGCTCACTTACCAACAAGCTTATGCCTGTGTTGTTGAATACAGGTCTAAAATACCACTCTGAGTATGATTCTCTGCCTTTTCCAGTGCTGATCGCCTCAGGCAGCTATCAGAGAACACCCCTACTTCGCAGGAAACTCCGCGAAATGGGCTTCATCATCTACGGCAACGATGATTCACCTGTGGTACCGATGATGGCTCTACATGCCTGCCAAAATTGGGTATGCCTCCCCATGTTGTTTGGTATATAATCAATGCTTTTTAATATCTAGGATAAGTATGGTGGCTAATGAGAGGAATAGATAGAATCTGAGTGAATGTGTGGAAAGCTGTTTCATGATTTCTCACATTAAAGAAAACATCTTTAGGATGTGGTGATGGTAATGGAGAGACCATGAGTTAGACTTGCCAAGTGTTGCCCTGTGTCTAATGTTGCCATTGCCTGCAGGGCATTTGACGGGAGATGCTGAAGAGGAACATCGGCACAGTGGTAGTCGGCTTCCCGGCGACACCCATCATCGAGTCAAGGGCACGTTTCTGTGTTTCAGCTGCTCACACGAGAGAGATGCTCAACACAGTAAGTCTTCCAATAAATGCAGTCACTGTGCGAAACACAAAACAAATTGAAATTGCATGGGGTTTATGCATATTTATTTTAAAATTATACATTGAGGCAAATGTCTTTTTTGGGGGTAAAATCAATGCAAAAATCCAGGTTAAAATCAACTCAGAATATATATATATTTTTATCTTAAAAAAATTGACTGATGACATGTGACATCAGTAGCATCTCCATTTTTCCTTTCACTTTCTATTACCAGAAGTCTTTTTCAGAGGTCCTGGCAAAAAAGGATCCTTTTGCTCTCAACTGGTGTGTGGATAGTTTCCACTTGCAGGAGCAAAAGAACAGCTTTTATGAGGGTGTGAAACTAAATCAACTTGAAAATCTAATTTAACTTGTTTGTTACTGTTTTTATTTTATTTGTGTTTTTGATAAACATATAAACATGTAAAACAATCTAATTATTCAATGCTGCCACTTCCAATCTACAACAGCAAATTTATCTATCCAAGATGTAAAGAGAAAGACACATTTGATCTCTGCTCTGTCTACTTCTCCTCTGGATCCAGTTGAGAGGATGTCGTTTATTGCTGAAGACTTAATTTATCCTCAATGATATAAGAGTTTGTTTGGCTTCATGGGTGATCGTGGATCCAAGTACTCAGTAAGCTTTTCATAGCTTGTTGATCAACAGATCTGCCTGTCTGGCTGCTGACTGACAGCTTTGTGTGAGTGTGTCTCTGTTGAATATAAGGTTCCAATATGTCCTTTATTATGAAGAAACTTGGAAGGCTAAGTTGTCTCTGAGTTTATAGTGTGGCTCAGACAGAGACTTTTATTTGACTGCTCTGTCTCTCCAAAGACACTTCATTCATCTTACTGAGGAGCATGTCAACACCGTTTGTAATAGTCCATTTAAAGGGCATCAGCCTGTCTTTGTAGAGCACTTCGAGGAGCCGCTTTTTCCGTCTTTGGAAAAGCCAGCTCTCGCTATTTCTCAACCACTGAATCAGAAAAAAGGTCAGGAGGAAGGTAAATTGTTTCCAGGTGTCCTGCAGTGTTGCAATGCTGATACAGTCTCTTGTGGAAAGAAGTGGAGGAGTTTCTTGTCAGTTGTGGTTTATTCAGGGAGCCTTCTGTCACTTTTGCTTTCGAAGCCCCCTCTCCTTCACTTCTCTGACTGTAGAATAGCTAAAAATCCAAGTGTGATCAAGGTTTATCACTTCATCTATCACCTACAAAAGAAATCTCTTTTCAAGATGCGTTTTTTTATTGTCTGGCTTCTCTGTCTCGCTATCTTCACTCATTCTGATTGATGTAAATAATGTCTCTTTGGATTCAGATTAATAGCATTGTTCCTCTTCCTGTTCCAGGCATTGGAGGCCATCAGTGAAGTGGGTGACCTGCTGCAGCTGAAGTACTCTAGACTTGAACAGCCCCTTCCCTCTCTGGTGTGGATGTCTGAGGAGAGCTTGCTGCAGGACTGAGCCACATCATCCCCTCTCTCCCAGATCACCTTTCCTCCTTCTTACTTTACCTTTTCTTGTCTGATATCCCTTATTTTCCTCTGAGCCAATTTCTCCACCCACGTCTTCATATCTCTTTGCATCGGACTCCCGAGGACTCACCAAAACCAAAGTCTTCACCCTGGTCCACTTGGTTTTAAAACCTGCACACTAGCATCGCTCATAAGCCTGCGTGCAGTTTGTGACCTGTCCAGCTTCTTCACCCCTAACAGGGAAGGACCAAAATTACCCACATCTTTTCTTTGTCTGTGCGTTCACAGCCTTTCAGTTTGTCCTAGCTTATTGTGACTACATCAGTCTAACGTCAAGTCTTATCCTGTGTGCACATTAAATGTGTATCTTATTTGTGCAATAATAACAACAACGTGGAGTGTCTTTGTTCAAACGGCCTAGAGCAAAGTAGACTGATTTTTGTCATGAGTTCATACTTGTGGCACTTGGAGAAAAAGAAATCTGATCATAGCCGTTGCTATGATGCACTCAAAAGAAAAAATTATATATGTAAATATTATTTATCCCGAAGTTGGTAAAACTGCCTTAGGGTAGCAACCCAAACCTCAAAGAGAGATACATTATTTCACAGGAGTAACATAAGCATGTGTTCTCCATATGTATTTATCTGATGGCTTTTTCCTAATCACTTTTACTTGAATAGAGAGTATAGAATATTGGGTCCTTTCCTCACCAAAGGATATATATATGTATAGATATATTTTCTACCTTTTCTCTTAAAATGCAAAGCAGATGTTCCAAACGAAAAAATTTAACGGGGAAAAGAATCCCAGGGAGCAAGACTAAGGATATTTTTTTACTGCTTATTTTCTAGAAATTTTTTCAGCCTTATTTACTGTTTACACCTGCACTCAAAAACTTGAGCCCAGTGTCTTTAACATTTCTATAAGCTAATGAGCTACATATGTGATTGTTGTTTTTTTTTTTTGTTTGT